AGGATCTATATGCTGAAAACTACAAATTACTGATGAAAGAATCAAAGGAGTCCTTTAAAAATAGGCAGATAAACTGTCAATCATTTAGAATATTGCTAATATGTCAATTCTCCCCAGACTCATCTGTATATAGTCAATGCAATCCCCAATAAAACTCCCAGCTAGAGTTTATTTTTCAAATCACAAAGTTGACTCTAAAAGTTATGGAAAAGAAAACAAATCAGAATATCCAAAGTTGTTTTGAAAAAGAAGAATGGAGTTGGAAGACTCATACTATCTGATTTCCAGATTTAGTGTATAAAGCTGCATATATATTGGCAAAATGATAGACACATAGATCAATGGACTCAAAGAGAGACCACAAATAGACCCACACATGTACAATCAATGGATTTTTCACAAAGGTGCAACAGCAATTTGATGTTGAAAGGACGATTAATTGGATGTTCCTATGCCAAAAAAAAAATGGACCTTGATCTCATACTTTTATAAAGATTAATTCACATGGATCACAGACCTAAATGTAAAACCTGAAAGCACAAGATTTTTAGATGAAAAAAAAAAAGAGGAGAAAAATCTTTGTGACTTTAGATTAGGTGGAGTTCTTATATGTGAAACCAAAAACACAACCCACAGAAGACAAAAATTGAACTTCATCCAAAAAAAAAACCCACTTTCACTCTCTTAAAAAAAAATACCATCTATGGAATAAAAACACAAACCACACACAGGGATAAAATATTTGCAAACACATAACTGACAAAGGACACATGTCCAGAACATATTAAAAACTCTCATAAATTGAGAAAAAGAAAACACATCACCAAAGAAAATATTTATATGGCTAGCAAACATTCATATATAAAGATGCTCAACTTAACCATGAGGGAAATATAAATTAAAACCAAAATAAGATACAACTACAAACCTACTGAAATGCTAAAAACAAAACAAAGACCTGATATGCACTGATGCTGGGAAATCAAAATGGTATACCTATTTTAGAAACATCTGTTAGTTTTCCATAAAGTGAAACATTTTTTTACTGTACAACCCAACAAAATCCCACTCCTAAGTATTTACTAAGGCAAAGAAAACTTGTGCTGACACACCAATCTGTATGCAAATACTTACAGTTGCTTTCTTAAGTGCTAAAGACTGGAAACCCAAATATATCCTTCAAGTTGTAAATGGATAAAGAAAATATGGTACATCCATACAATAAAATATCCTTCAGCAAGAAAAGGAATGACTATCCATACATACATTAAGATTGATGAATCTCAGAAACATTAACTGAAAGAAGCCACACTCCAAAGTTTACATACTGTATGATTCTATTTATAGGCCATTCTGGAAAAGATAAACTATAGTGACAAAAAAACAAGTCAGTGGTTGCTAAAGATGGGGAGGGGGCAGAGCATGGGGGGAAGGGGATGACTACAAGAGTAGAAAGGAATTTCAGGGCAGGGTGTGCTGGAATTGTTAAATGTCTTGATTGTGGTGGTGGTAATAAGATAGCAAGCATTTGCCAAAACACAGAATAATCCACCAAAGAGTTGATTTTACTGTCTATAAATTATTTCCTAATTTAAAAAAAAGCATTAGCTTGTAAGATCTTCATAGATGTCTTTTATCTCACTGAAGAATTTTTATCATGAATGGATACTGAATTTTATCAATTGCTTTCTGTGACTCCAAGACAATCATATATTTGATGAAAAGGATCCAGACATAAAAGAGTATGTACTGAACACGTATGAACCTCAAGAACAGACAGATCAAATTAATATACGATATTGAAATCACAACACTTGTGGCCACTGGAGTTAGGAACAACTAGACATGTACACAAGGAAACATTCTGGTTTAATAGAAATATTGTAGATATTGATCTTGGTGATGATTACACAAGTAGATAGCATTTGTCAAAATTCATGAAGTTGTAAACTTGAGACTTATGCAGGTTACTGCATGCAAATTACACTTCAATAAAGTACTGTTAGCATACAAAAGTGCTGGTCACAACACGCTGAATGGACTTCTGGACCCACTAATGGGTTACCACCTTCAGTTTGATAAGCACTAGTTTACAGGACCTGCAGGGTTGGGAAAATGAGCCCGTGAGTCTCAATTCATGTCCTCCAAGGCTTGGAGAATTCTTCTAAGTAGAACTTTATAGAAATTTTTAGAGAGGAACTGAGTAAAAATTTCGAATGTGACTGTCCTCCCCTTTACTCATTTAACCTTACTTAACACCTGCAGTGTGTTAGGCACTGAAGAGGCAGAAGCAACTTGGCAGTAAACAAAGTCCCTGACCTCTGGGAGCTTATATTCTAGTGGAAGAGATTTTTGGCATTTCTGTCTTAGTACTTTGGGTTCACTCCAGATCAGACTCATCCTTCCTAAGGCTCTCTTCCGTTCTGTGTGACATCTGCTAGATGTCAAGTTTCTGAATAAAGTCCTTTTGTCTCCACCTTCATGAGGCTTCTCTGCTGTGTGGTCACCCAACTACTATGACATGTCAAGCTCTGGCTGAAATACTCTTTTATGAAACAAATGTTTGGTCTTCTATGACAGGTCTGATAAGTGGACTAGTTCAACACCCATTTGAGGTATTAAAACATGTAGCTTTATGGAGCTTCTTTGCTGTATGTCTTCCCTGATGAGGGAAAGTCCTTGTCACCTTCATCGCCAGCATGGACTCGCTGATGAATTATAAGACTCGAGCTCCAACTGAAGCCCTTCCCACACTCCTCACATTTGTATGGTTTTTCTCCAGTGTGGACTCTCTGATGAGCTTGAAGATATGAGCTCCAACTGAAGACCTTCCCACATTCCTCACACTTATATGGTTTCTCTCCAGTGTGGACCCTCTGGTGGGCTTGAAGGTATGATCTCTGTCTGAAGCGCTTACCACACACATCACATCGGTATGGTTTCTCTCCTGTGTGGACGCCACGATGAGCCAGAAAATTTGAGGCCCGACAGAAGCCCTTTCCACACTCCTCACACTGGTAGGGTTTCTCTCCAGTGTGGCACCTCTGATGGGCTTGAAGCTGTGAGCCCACACTGAAGCCCTTCCCACACTCGGCACACTGATACGGTTTCTCTCCAGTGTGGACTCTCTGATGCACTTGAAGACTTGAGAACTGACTGAAGGCTTTCCCACACTTCTCACATTTATAGGGTTTCTCGCCTGTGTGGATTCTACAATGAACGTTGAGATCTGAACTCCGGCTGAAACCCTTCCCACAGGTACCACACTTGTATGGTTTTTCTCCAGTGTGGCCTCTTTGATGGGCCAGCAGATTTGAGGCCTGACTGAAACCCTTCCCACACTCCTCACATTTATAGGGTTTCTCTCCTGTGTGGACTCTGAAATGAATGTTAAAATCTGAGCTACGACTGAAGCCCTTTCCACATGCATCACATTGATATGGTTTCTCACCGCTGTGGCCTCTCTGATGGTCTAGAAGATTTGAGGCCCGACAGAAGCCCTTCCCACACTCCTCACATTTGTATGGTTTCTCTCCCGTGTGGCTTATTTGATGGGCTTGGAGGTGGGAACCTACACTGAAGCCTTTCCCACACTCTTCACATCTATAGGGTTTCTCACCTGTGTGGATTCTACAGTGAATGTTAAGGTGTGAGCTGTAACTGAAGCCCTTGCCACATGCATCACATTTGTATGGTTTCTCCCCAGTGTGGATTCGCTGATGGGCCTGTAGTCGTGAACGCCAACTGAAGCCCTTCCCACACTCTTCGCATTTGTAAGGTTTCTTTCCCGCATGGACTCTCTGATGGACTTGAAGATAGGAGGCCTGACTGAAGCCCAGCCCACACTCCTCACATTTATAGGGTTTCTCCAATAGGTGGACCGTAAGAGGAGCTTGATGATGTGAATTTTTCCTGACATTCCTCCCACACTCCTCATACCTGTGTGGATTCTCTCCAGTGGGGACTCTCGGACGATGATGAAGATATGACCTCCGACTGAAACCCTTATGTGACGTATCATATTTGGAAGACTTTGTTCTACTGTGGACTCTCTGATGGGCTTGAAGAGTTGTAAGGCGACGGAAGGTGTTTTCACATTTTTCACATGTATAGAGCTTCTCTCCTACCTGGGCTCTTGGGTTAATTTGAAGCTGAAAACCCCGAATGAAACCTTTCTCACACTCTATTCCTTTGTCGGGTTTTTTCCCAGTGTGGTCTCTGCGGTGAACCTGAAGATGTGGACTCTGATTAAAGTCTTTACTGAACTCCACATCTTTATAGAGAGCGTCACTTTGTTTTTCCAACTGAGAGCCAGATCCTTGAATATTTACCACAGAATCATGACACCTGGTCGATTCCCTGGTAACTTGTTGCCAGATTTGCGAGCAGAAAAGCTCTTTGTGTGGGAGATACCTTAATCCAACTTCTTGAAGAGTGTCCATATCATTTAGATTCTTGTCTCCTAAAAGGATAAAAAGAATTTAGAGATGGGGCATGTGAAAGCCTCGTCCAGAGATGTCAATGTTATAAACTTAGGCCTACACCCCCAGGCTTTACTGAACCATCAAAAATTTCCATTTTTTAACATCATGTATCATGTTCTCTGATTTGCACACCTCCATAAATCTCTTGGGGGTTCACTACACACTAATGGGGTCCATTTTGAATCACAGTAAGTTTCATAAGTGAGATACAAGCTAGAAATCTGGTGGCTACAGAGCAAGAAAAATACCTCCTAGGCAATGTTTACAAAGATGAAGCTGCACCTTATGTTAAGCCTTATCTCTTTTTTGCTGCAGTTGGTATCCGATATACAGCTTTCACATAATTCTGCCTATTGCATGCACGTCCAATCAAAATGCTCCAAATCTCTAGCAAGGCCCTTACAGACAGATTATCAGAAGATGTCCCCAGGCAATGTTGAAAAATCCTTGCTTTATTTTATTGGAAATTTATTCCGATGGTGGGAGACATTGGATAGGCTGGCAAGATACATGTTTGGGAGAGAATACCTTATACCTAAGTGCCTAAAGTTCACAGTATAAGCAGAGAGTGATCCTGCCATCTCTTGCTAAGAAATATCCTTCAGGAATACAAATGGGGGAAGAGGTTTACTGTCAATGACATACATTATTCTAAAGCCTCGTGGTAATAATAACAACCTCCAGGGGGGAAAATAAGTGAAAAATTAGAAGGTAATCTTTTTTTTTTAATTAAAAAAATTTTTTTTCAAATTGAAGTACAGTCAGTTACAATGTGCCAATTTCTGGTGTAGGCACAATGTCACAGAAGGTAATCTTTTACCACAGAGCAAGAACCTGTCAGGAGGAAATAAACAGAGCATAGAACAGATACTTAAAGTCATTACAGGACAGGAAGAGTTATGTTGTCCTTGGAACTCTGTTCCACCAATTAGCCATATAGCTGGCTACTTACTTCTTCTCAGCTCTCTCTTCAAATAGCACCTTATCAGGGAGGCCGCTTTTACCATCCAATATCATAAGAGTAAATTCTCCCTATCCATTCCACAGTCCAGGCAATCTCGCCTTACCCTGCTTTGTTTTGACCCAGCACATGCTCCCGTCCGACACACTGCCAATGTCCTTGATCTTTTTCCTTTTATGTCTTCTCCCCCTTGAATGCAATATCCACGAGGACAAGCATTCTGTATCTTTGTCACCACTCCCAGGGCACTGTCTGACACGGCGTTCAACAAATACACATTGAAAGGATAAGTGAATCCCAGTCTGACTTCTTCGCGAGAGTCTGAGCCATGTTAGAAAAATAAAAGAGCTTTTTCCAGCGAGTTACCCACAACAGGAAAGGAACTGGAAACAGCAGTCTTGCTGGGAAGCTGAAAGGCTTCCCTAGATGCAGGGCTAAACTAAGGGGATGAGAACATCATGATGATCACAAAATCATGGCAAGAATCACTTTAAACAAGGCCCTGCTGCACAGCACAGGGAACTATGTTCAATTTCTTATAATACCGTATAATGGAAAAGAATATGGAAAGAAAAAATATATATGTATGTACATGTATAACTGAATCACTTTGCTATACATCTGAAACTAGCACTGTGAATCAATAAAAAAATTTTTTAAAAAAAGCATAAAGCGTAAAAGTGGCCACGGATAGAGTGCTTCTGAAATTTTTGTACTATCTTCCTGTGTGTGTAAACTTTCTCCTTTTTCAAGGGGGAGTCGGTATTTAGAGCCTCAGGTGAAATGTTGTATCTGAAAGCAGACTACGGAACTGGTGGACACATGGGACATCCTGACTCCCGTTAAGTACTTGAACTGTGCTGTAAATCAGGTGAGAAACTCCGAGTGGTTTTGAGCAGAGACATGACAAGATCTGAATTTAGAAGAAACACTCTGAGTGGAGAATCGATTATAAATGAGCAGATCAGGAGACAGAGCAATATGAAGACTGCTGCGGTGGTCCACAGTCCAGGCACTGATGTGGACCAGAGCCATGGCTGTGGAGGTGACACAAAACAGGATAGACTCAGAGTCACATGGTTCTCACCTGAGGAGCAACGGCTCTGGGCTGCTGTCCGTAACATCCAAAGCTTTTCTTCTCTCTCCAACTGGGATATTACATCTGGTATGAAGCATTGGTGCCCTGTGACAAGGCAAGGACAAACATTTAGAATTAATGTATTAGAGGCCAAAATTTTTAAAACTTGTGGTTCTCACTGCATCATCTTTGGGACACCCAAACCAGTGTTTTCCCAACTTTTAAGTAAGACCCACGGGAAGAAATGCATCTTATGCAAAAACCCAAGACAGGCAGACATAAATATAAATTACTGGAAGAAAATTATCTATTTTCGTTGCACCCTTTTCACAGTTTCTCATGCTATTCTTGGTAATGGGCAGTTTTTACTGCAGCAAGCAGTTACTGCCAAGGCCACTGATATTCTCTACCCTATTGTATTTCAATTCCCTAATGAGTGTCAGGACCCACTAACTGGAGATGAGCCCAATTTGAAAAGCCAAAAATGTATAGCAGTCGTGCTGTCAATGTACAGTTAATTTACAAGACACATTTTGGCCAGGGGAGAAAGATTAGAAAAATGCCATCTCTCTGTCTCATGCTGATCGGGAAACTAGAAACCAGGCCAAGAGCTCCAAAGCCCGGCATATCCAAGGACATTCAGTCACAGAGTGCCCGTTCTCACCCACGGAGACCAGGTTCCGGAAGTTCTCCAGCATCACGTCTCGGTACAGCTCCCTTTGGGCGGGGTCCAGCAGCCCCAGCTCCTCCTCTGTGAAGGTCACGGCCACGTCCTTGAATGTCACTGCCTCCTACAACACCAAACACACCCCAAGTGAATCTTGCAATAGAGATTCCCTGGAGGAAGGGTAGCACTGAGAACAGGGAAGAGGATGTGTACGAAGTGGTTCTAGATTCTGAGAGACCAGAGTGAATTTCACTGTCATGTAGTTAAATATTTCCAATAATGCATCTACGTTTTAGGTTTTTTTCTTTTCATAACATGTGCTGAAAGGAACAATTTTTTACATAGGTATCAGCTTCCCATCTAATTATTTCCTTAGGGTAAGTTCCAAAAAGTGAAAACTGCAATGTCAAATATGCAGCTTCAAAACTATGACGGACAACAGATTTTCTTTTCAACTTTTCCCCTATTTCATCCTTCCCCCAAGAGAATATGTGTCCCTGATTCTTCCTACAATACACATTGAATATAACCACATTTTTAAATCCTAGGCAATCCTACCAGTAAAAAACAACTTATTTTGATTTTTGTACTTATTTGTTCATGAATAAACTCATCATATTTTCACCTATTTACTAGCCATCTTAATTTCTTCCCTCAGAACCTTGCCTGCTCATGTTCTCTGCTCATACTCCAATTGGGGTTTTATCTTATGATTATATAAAATTTCTATTAGAGA